CGCCGCGCCCTGCGCCCCGGCCCGGCGCCTATTTATGGAGAAAACAGAAATGACGCAACTTCGCCTGAAGCTGACGGAAGTCCTCGAAACCCCGCACCCTGAAAACCTCACCTTTCTGATGTCGAACAATTGCTTCCGTTGTTCCAAGGCAAATTTTGACTTGGATCTAAAGCTGATTTCAGTTAGTTTGAGGGAATTCAAATTTAGCTTCACATCAAAGTCAAAAAATTTTTCCTTTGGAACAACGGGAGCACATTTTGACGGGTAATCAAAGGTGCGGTTTTCTGCCGGTGGCGAGGGAGGGGTGGATCCAGGGTGACTGCCTGCGTCGCATGAGCACGGTTGTCCAGCCAGCGAGCGGTTTGCTGTGAGGCATCGAGGAGACAACCGTCCGAATGCCATGTCAGTGCCCTTGGAACGCCTCGCGGCCGGTGTCTGTGAGTGTGGGGGGAGGGGGGGCGTAGAGGAGACAGGTCTGAGCGTGCAAAGGAGACGGCTATAAACACGAGAGGGGCGGGGCGGGGCGCGGTGGTGCAGCGCCCCCCGGTCTCGCGGCAGCTGCAGGGGCGGGCGCCGTTTGTTCTGAGAGGTTCTGGGGGCCTCCGTCGCGCACTCTCGTGGACGAGCACAATTTCTTCATTAAAAACACAAAATGAGTGCATTTGAAATTGGGAGTAATGCTGTTGGCGATGATCCTGCGGTGGACTCGTTTTTATGAATATTACTTTCCTACATTGTGTGTGAGCGAGTGAGTACTACATTAGACGCTCTGTCCACACGTGTAAAATGTAAACGAGTCGCGACGTCCCTGGTTAGAGGCTGCTGCCGCTGAACGAGCCCGCCTGCCTTCGGCCCGAGACGTGCACGATAAGTGATTTATCGGGATTAGCGGGCCTTAAAGCCCAGGAGCGGAGGCAGGCCGTCGCGTCGTGCGCCACGCCACGCCGCGCCACGAGGAGGAGGAGATCGATTGCAGAACGAGCAGTCGTCTCGTCGCTACGCCCGGCCGCGCCGCCGCCGCGCTTGTTGCTGGAATGGCCTGACTTTTGATCACGTTTTCTGATTATCGGTTCTAAATCTGTATGTCGCGGCGAACAACAGCAGAGCAGCAGAGACGTCGTTGTCGTCGTCGTTGTGTGTAATTATGTTGTGCATGTGCAATGCGTGCGGAAGCCGGGAGAAAAAAAATCTAGTCTTTCTTTCGTTTTGTTGTGTCATATTGTGTTTTTATGTTGTTGTTTTTTGTTTTTGTTTTCATTTTCCACACGATATCGCCCTCCCCGTTGGGTGCTGTGCTGACCTACTAATTGTCATTTAGTGGGTCCGCCCGGGAGGGGAAGGGGGGGGGGGTCCTCCGCCCGTGCAGTTCGGTTTGGGTCGATGTCCACATTAGTCAGTCGGCCCAGACCGTCGCAGTCTTAGCGTGCGGGGGCGCCAGAGCCAAGGCTCAGCTCGACTCGTCGGTGGTACAGTCTGCGGGTGGGTGGCAGGGCAAAACCCACACTCATCAAAATTAGAGGACGGACGGTTCTGCGGTCGCATATTTCAAAATATTTATATATATCGCACATCACATCGCACCGGAAAGAGGGGGTGGCGGTAGTGGTAGAAGGAGTCGCGAGCGGCAGCGAAAGTAGGGGAATGTGTATCGGATATGGACCGAGGGGGGAATATACAACTGGCGGGCCCGCCGTGTGTACGAGCACCACGGAGAAGGGCCTCTCTGATCTCCACAGTCTTCTCCTCGCGGAGAGCCTCCGATACTTCGATACTCCCCCGCTCCATTCATGTCTGCGTGACCCACATAGTGACCCCCGCTTCCGCTACGCACAAGATAAGCCGCCCATCTAGGCGCGCTGACCACGGTGGGGTGGGGCGGGGTGGGGCGGGGCGATGTACGTATTTCACAATACCGCGAACGACAAGGCCGCCACAGTCAAAGAGAGAGAGAGAGGGAGAGAGATTTAGCCAAGGAAGAGGAAAAATGCGGGAACGCGTGGGGAAAATTTTCGCCGCTCTGGACCGTTGTGTGTGTGTGTCTCTCTCTCCCACTGCGATCACGTCAGGCGGCTGGTATTTGAGGCGGCCCGGCGGCGCCCCGGACGCACACAGGATGCTGATGTCACCGCGGGGGGCAACCCGGGCGGGGCGGGGCGGGGCGCGGCGAGTGTGTTTGCGCCCCGGCCGCGGTGTTCGAACCCGCCGTGTTCCCGAGCGGTGTGCGCGGCGGGGGGAAGGGGGTCAGTCTGGGGTGGCCTTTCTGCGCCCCCTCGCGAGCCCCTCCCCGCGACGCGGCGCCTCCCCGGGGGAAGCGAGCCGTGCCGACGACGCGCCCGGGGCGACAGTACAGTCTGTCTGGCGAGTAAAAGTGCTGGCTAAACTTAGAAGCGCGCGCGTGCGCTTTGCCGCAGATAACGAGTGTCTCTGTGCGCGCCGCGCGGGTGCAGCCGCGGGCGCCGCCGCCGGCCACCCCCCGGGGAGCGACGCCGCCGCCGCCGCCGCACCCTTTCAGACGCTCTGCGCCGCGCACTTCGCGCAGCCATCAGTGTGCCGTTCGTCAGGTCCCCGCGCTGTTGCTGCTTCCTTCGAGCAGTTCTCCTCCTATTTCCGTGCTTTTTACTGAGTTTGGGGGAGAAAGGCGAAATTTCACCCCTCTCCACCCCTCCTCTTCTCTTTCTTCCTATACCTTGCACCCTCTGCTCTTCTCCCTCCCCCTTGCGGGTCTCCCCATACACGGAGCAAAGCAACGGCCGCGCACAGCCGAGCGAAGTAGCGCGGCTAAACTTAGCTGACTAATGAGTATAGGAGAGCGGCGTAGCGACTTCCATTAGGCTGTAAACCTGGGCCGGGCTTCGGGCAGGAGCGAGGGGATCGGGAATGTGCGCAAAGGACTGCGAGGTGGGAATGACGGTAAGAAAAAAGAAGCGCGCCGCGCACCAGACCAAGGGGGGGATGGAATCGCTCGGCTTTGTTCGTCGTTACGGCATTCCCCGAGAGGCGCTCCCGCTGCTCCTTGCTCCTGTTGCTGCTGTACTGGGGGGTTTGAGACGTCCCCGCACTGCCGCTGCTTGGCTGCCGGTGAAAAATACCAGGTCACCTCGTCCCCTGTCCGCTTGTAACGTCCTGCGCGGGGATGGATGTCGTGTCAGGCTCTGGGCAGTGCACTTCCACCAGGCGTTCTAGGCCTGGACGAGGGACTTTAACTTTCCAGAAAAGTTTTATTTTTGTCACGTTTATCTACAGCTATCTTTCAATTTTTTTTCTGGAACCTTTTCTACTTTTCCAGAAAAATTTCGGATCTTAGAATCCCTAGGACGAGGACGACCGGAGGACCTGCTGCGACCTGCTGTCGTGTGTGCATATGTGTGCGGCCCCTTCGCGCCTGCCGCTCGTCACGTCAGGGTGACACGAAAGGGTGACGCCGCACGACGACTTGCGCGGCCGGGGCGTGTGGGGGCGGCCGTGACAACATTATGACACGCCGCGTCAAGTCGCACTCGCTCCAGTCCAAGCGGGGCGGGACGCCCCCCCCCCCCCCCCCCCCCCCCTGTGCTGTGCAGCAGCAGCGCC